GGCAGGGCCAGTGGAACTCATCATTGAGGTTCGATCTGAACCATGAGGTTAGCCTTGCTTTCATGTGACTAATTGAAGAGAAGGATGAGGAAGTGGGAGTAAGACTGAGAAGGAAGGGTTGTATGGTCCCAAAGAGACCTTCATCACAAAGAGCTGAACTACTCAGAATGAATCTGCACTAGGCTAGGAATAAAAGCAGATTTTATTCTGTTTTATCTCAGTCGTCCTCTGTTTCGTTTTTCCCATCCCTCACCCAACTCTCAAATCTCAAATATTGAATATTAAGGATTCATTGTTAATTCTTTAAGTGATAAGGTATTGTGGTTATATGTTTAAATAAGATCCTTTAAAGATACATATTAAACTGTTTACAGATAAAATTATATAATGTGGGAAATGTGCTTAAAATAAAAGGGAGGGCAGGGGAAGAGGAGGTTTGGATGAAATAAGACTGGCCATGAATTGATAATTCTTGAAATTAGGTGATGGGTACATAGGGGTTCATTGTACTATTTATGTACCTTAATATGTGTTTGAAATTTTTCATAATTAAAGTTTTTTAAAATGTCATTTTCTGAGAATGATCCCAGTTAGACCTGCTCTTCCTGCTTTTCTACTCTTGTCTTCAAAGACTTTCCCATCAGTGACTCAAAGATGAGACTTCTGATCATCTAGTAGTAGCGATCAGTTGCTTTGAGCTAGTCACACTTTGTGACAAAGGGCACAGATTTGAAGACCATTGAATAGACTTAGAGGTGGTTCACAATAATATCATATGTGTCTTCTCTAGAGGCATATGGGCATATAGGCTTATGGAATGTAAAATTGTACAACCACTTCGGAAAACATTTGGCAGCTTCTTAAAAAGTTAAATATAAATTTACTGTAGGACTCAGCAATTCCACTCCTAGACATTTACAAAAGAAATGAAAGTGTCTGTTCATGCAAAGTCTTGTATACAAATGTTCAATGCAGCTTTGTTTATAATAGCCGATAACTGGAAACAACCAAACTGTTCAATAAAAGATGAATTAGTAAACAAATTGTGCAACATCCATACAATAGAATACTACTCATCCATAAAAATAAATGAACGATTGGTAGATGCAAAAACGTGGATGAATCTCAAAATAATTATGTTGAGTGAAAGAAGCCAGAAAAAAAAAGATGTATATGATTCCATTTATATAAAATTCTTTTTTTAACACTTTTTTCCATCTTTATTAAGATATAATTGACATATAACATTAAGTTTAAAGTGTACCACATAATCATTTGATATAGGTATGTATTTGTGAAATAATTACCACAATAAAGTTAGTTAACACACCCATCACCTCACAAAGTTACAGTTTTTTTGTGTGTGGTAAGAACTTTTAAGATCTACTCTCTTAGGAACTTTCAAATATACATAACAGGCTTGTTCTCTACAGTCACTATGCTGTACAAACATCCCCAAAACTTATTCATCTCATAATTGGAAGTTTGTGCCCTTTGACCACCTTCACCCATTCCCCCGTACTCACCCCCGGCCCCGGGAAACCACCACTCTGCTCTCTGTTTTTATGAGTTTGGTTTTTTAGATTCCACATATAAGTGATATCATACAGTATTTGTCTTTCTCTATCTGACTTATTTCACTTAGCTCAGTGCCCTCAAGTTTCATCCATGTTGTCACAAATGGCAGAATTTCTTTCTTTTTTGAATAATATTCTATTGTATGGAATAGCATACATTATTCTGAATAATATTCTATTTGTATTTTTACATGTACAAATACACGTGTATTTGTACATATATATATCCACATATATACACACACTGATATATAGATATATCTATCTATCTATATATATATATATATACACACACACACACGCCACATTTTCTTTATCCATTCATCCGTCACTAGACACTTAGGTTGTTTCCATGTCTTGGCTATCGTGAATAATGCTGCAGTGAACATGGGGTGCAGATATCTCTTCAGGATAGTGATTTAATTTCCTTTGGATGTATACCCAGAAGTGGAATTGCTGGATCGTATGGTAGTTGTATTTTAAAATTTCTGAGGAACCTCCATACTGTTTTCCATAAAGGTATACCAATTCACATTCCCACCAACAGTGCACCCTCCACATCATCCCCAGTGCTTATTATCTCTTGTGTTTTGATAACAGCCATTCTAACAGGCGTGAGGTAATATCTCATTGTGATTTTGATTTGCTTTTCTGTGATGATTAGTGATAGTATATTTTCATGTACCTATTGGCCATTTGAATAGCTTCTTTGGAAAAATGTCTATTCTATTTGGAAAAATGCATTATTTGGTTTTTTGGCTATTGAGTTGTATGAGTTCCTTATTGGTTTTGGATATTAACCCCTTGTCAAGTGTGTGGTTTGCAAATATCTTCTCCCATTCCATAGTTGCCATTTCATTATGTTTATTGTTCCTTTGCTGTGCAGAAGCTTTGAGGTTTGATGTAGTCCCACTTGTTTATTTTTGCTTTTGTTGCTTGTGCTTTTGGTGTCATATCCATAAAATCATTGCCAAGACGGATGTCAAGGAACTTTTTCTCTCTGCTTTCTTCTAGAAGTTTTATGGTTTGGGGTCTTAGATTTAAGTCTTTAATCCATTTCAAGTTAATTTTTGTGAGTGTTATAAGACAGAGGTCCAGCTTCATTCTTCTGCATGTGAATATCCAATTTTCCCAACACCATTTATTGAAGAGACTGCCTTTTCTCCATTCAGTGGTCTTGCCTTCCTTGTCAAATAGTAGTTGACCATCTACGCATGGGTTCATTTCTAGGCTCTCGATTCTGTTGCATTGGTCTCTATGTCTATTTTCATACCAGTACCATACTGTTTTGATTACTATAGCTTTGTATTATAGTTTGAAATCAGGAAATATGATGCATCCAGCTTTGTTCTCCTGTCTCAAGATTTCTTTAGTTATTCAGGGTCTTTTGTGGTTCCATAAAAATTTTAGGATTGTTTTTTCTATTTCTGTAAAAAAATACCATTGGAGGGGCCAGCCTGGTGGCACAGCAGTTAAGTTCGTGGACTCTGCTTCGGCGGCCCAGGGTTCACCAGTTCGGATCCTGGGCACAGACCTACCTACCACTTATCAAGCTATGCTGTGGCAGGCATCCCACATATGATGTAGAGGAAGATGGGGACGAATGTTAGCTCAGGGCCAGTCTTCCTCAGCAAAAAGAGGAGCATTGGTGGCAGATGTTAGCTCAGGGCTAATCTTCCTCAAAAAAAACCCCCAAAACCAAAAATCAACAAAAAAAAAATGCCACTGGAATCTTTATAGCAATTGCATTGACTCAGTAGATAGCTTTGGGTAGTATGGACATTTTAACAATGTTAACTCTTCTCGTCTGTGAACCCAGGATATCTTTCATTTATTGGTGTCTTTTTCACTTTCTTCCGTTTGTGTCTAAATCCCATGTGATCGTGGTGTATGATCCTTTTAATGTGCTGATGAATTCGGTTTGCTAGTATTTTGTTGAGAGGTTTTGCATCTATATTCATCAGGGATATTGGCCTATAGTTTTCTTTTCTCGTAGTGTCCTGGTAGTCTCTAGCTTTGGTCCTAGGGTAATGCTGGTAGTGAGTTTGGGAGTGTTATCCCTTCTCCCCCAAAGTTCTTTTCTAAACATAGTTCTCTAATTTGTCTTATTTCTTTGCTTTCTTGCCCCTCCATGCCATTCTCTCTCAACTTAATGGCAAGAAAGTTGAGGTTATCTGGAACAATAATCTTGGGTAAGAAAACATAATCTTTTGAAGAAAAGAGATGCAGTTGGAGAGGTGTACATATGGTCTTGATAATGTTCTTTCTTGGCTGGGTAATAGATTTACAAGTGTTCGTTTTATTGTTGTTTTTTAAATTAAACATATATGTTTTCATGAAAAAAAAAAGAAAATATCATCTTTAATCTGAACTTTGCTTCCAGGCTGATTCACTTTGTTCAATTGGAAAGAATTATTTCCTTAAGATCTCATTTTTATCTCTGCCTCTTTGGTGTCTAAAAGTAATAGACTTTTCCACTCCTATGATGACCCAAATTTCTCTCTGTTCCTTTTCATTTCTGCTTATAAATTGGCCAATTATTTCCCTAGTTCAACTCTTTCTTTTAATACATTGTCAAAGGCAGCCAACACACAATAATATTCTAATTCTTCCTGACCACTTCCCTTGCAGCTATAGGCTTAGTAGGCACATGGTCTGTCTTCCTGTTTTACAAGTCTTTACTGTTAACATGATTGCCATATGTTCAGTCTTTTATATCACTTTTCTTACCACTCACCCACCCGCAACTGCTAAGCTAACACCATACATTTCAGACTTTGTTAAAGCAGCACCTCACTTCAGTAATAGAATAATTAAGAGCTTGGATTCTGGAACTGGTTCAAAAACTGTCTCTCCTTGTTAGTAGCTAAGTGACTTTAAGCAAAATGCTTTTCCACTCTTAATATCAAGTTTCTCATCTATTATTAAAAGAGGAGTATTACAGGGGCCGGCCCCGTGGCCTAGTGGTTAAGTTTGGCACACTCTGCTTTGGAGGCCCGGGTTCGTTTCCCAGGCATACACCTACACCACTCGTCCGTGGTCATGCTATGACAGTGACCCACATCCAAAATAGGGGAAGATTGGCACAGACGTTAGCTCAGGGTGACTCTTCCTCAGTGAAAAAAAAAAGGGGTATTATAATATTAAATTAAATAATATATGTAAAGTACTTAGCACAGTTCCTGGCACTTAATTAGTGTTAATATATTTTAGTTACTGTTATTTCCCTTCAAAATCCCAAGGATGGCTCCTGCTGGACTTTCTTTGCTGTCCTGTGTACTCCTGCCTGCAGCCTGGGAACTACAGGGCTCCTGCCGTCCCAGGAGAGAGGCGCTTTGTTGAGAGAGAGAGCTCTAAAAGATAGAAGTGAAGCAGCACATGCCTTGGGTGAAATGTTAATTTAATTCTTTTTTTGATTTCTAGATTTTCCTGTTTCTAGGCAGCATGTGTTTTATCCTAGCAGTTGGGCATGGCATTTGGGAGAATAAGAAAGGCTACTACTTCCAGAATTTTCTGCCATGGAAAGAATATGTCTCTTCGTCAGTTGTGTCTGCCATCCTCATGTTCTGGTCCTACTTCATTATTCTCAACACCGTGGTGCCCATTTCCCTCTATGTCAGGTAGGCTTCTTTCATTGCTTTGGGTTACAGGGAGAGGAGCTGACTTCGTACTTCCTGCTTAATTCCCCAACCAGAGTGTGAACTTTTAGAAAGCATAGACTGTGTGCTCTTTAGCCCTTTACTTTTCATGGTGCCTGGTGTACAAAACACTCTGAGAAATATCTGGAGATCACATAAATGCTTTCTATATCCAGAATACTATGCTAGATACCATGTGGGTTATACAAAAAGAAAATTGTCCCTGCCCGCAAATAGCTTTTAGTGTAAGTGACTAAATAAGACATTTAAGCACATGAAATAATTAGAAAAAATACACACAAATTTGGTGATGCTAAAGCATAAGCCAGGCAGCCCCTAATTTATCAACAAGATAGACTCCAAATATTCATGTATAAATCAGTTAATCAGAAATGAGAAACAATGTGACAAATGGTAGATAGGTGTAATCGTGACCTAGGTTCTGGTTTCTAAACGCTGGAGAAGAGGAGAAGGAGGTTTCCTCCCCTTTTTCATGAGCACCTTGGATAAAAATTTGAAATAGGTAAAATAAGTCTTTACTATACTCTGATCGCCTTTTTCTGTTTTAAACATTCCCTTTCACACACCCACACACATTTTCTCATCCTTCTTTCCAGGTTTCCTAAACCCTGTACTGTGGCATCCCAACCTGAAAACACCCTACGTATCACTAAACTGTATGATTAATATAATATATGTTTATTGAGTACCTACTGTGTGCCAAGCACTATATTGGATGTTGGAGATAGAAACATGAAAAGTAGGGGCCAGCCCTGTGGCCGAGTGGTTAAGTTAGCATGCTCTGCTTCAGTGGCCTAGGATTTTGCTGGTTTGGATCCTGAACGTGGACGTGGCACCGCTCGTCAGGCCATACTGAGGCAGCGTCCCACATGCCACAACTAGAGGGACCCACAACTAAAATATACAACTGTGTACTGGGGAGCTTTGGGGAGAAGAAGAAGAAGAAGAAGAAGAAGAAGAAGAAGAAGAAAAAAAAGAAACATGAAAAATAAGACAGCCCTTTCTCTAGATATGCTTACAACATAGCCATGGAAACAGATACTTAAATAAATAATTATGATACAATATGAAAAATGATGTAATAGAAATATATATATGTGAATGCTATGGGAGCCTTGAAAAGTAATGGATTAGTTCTGCCTGGAGAGACGTAGGGGTTTATAGAAAACTAATATTTGAAAAAAGAATAGAATTCACCAAGCAGAAAATAGGAAAAGAATATTGCAAGCAGAAAGATCAGCATGTACAAAGATTTGGAGGGTTTTGTTTTTTGTTTGTTTTTTGTTGGGTGTTTTTTGGTGAGGAAGATTGGCCCTGAGCTAATATCTGTTGCCAATCTTCCTCATTTTTTTTCCCTCTCGCCAAAGCCCCAGTAGATAGTTATATATCCTAGTTGTAAGTCATTCTAGTTCTTCTATGTGGGACGCTGCCACCGCATGGCCTTATGAGTGGTGTGAAGGTCCACGCCCAGGATCTGATCCAGTGAACCCCAGGCTGCTGAAGCAGAGCTCTCAAACTTAACCACTTGGCCACGGGGACAGCCCCCTGGTGGTTTCGTTTTTTTTTTTTTTTTTAAGATTTTGTTTTTCCTTTTTCTCCCCAAAGCCCCCCGGTACATAGTTGTGTATTTTTAGTTGTGGGTTCTTCTAGTTGTGTCACGTGGGACACTGCCTCGGCATGGCCTGATGAGCGGTGCCATGTCCGCGCCCAGAATCTGAACCTGCGAAACCCTGGGCCGCTTAAGCGGAGCACACGAACTCAACCTCTCGGCCACAGGGCTGGCCCCCCCACTGGAGGTTTTTAAAAGCTTCATCTGGTAATAGAACAATGATTAGCCTAGACTAAGGTATTGGGTGGTAATTTAGGATCAGATCCAGGAGAGCCTTAAAACGCCAGGCCAAGGAGTTTGGATTTTATCCTAAAAGCAGCAAATAGACCTTTCTAAGGAAAGAAATAATGTAATTAATTGTTTGAATTTAGAGAGATTGCTATGGTGGCTGCTATGCTGAAGGAAGGGAGGGGTCAAGACTCAACCTGTGAGGACCAGTAGAGTCAATAATGCGGGTCGGAGCACCTCCTCCCCTACCTCAAACAAAAAATCCTTGTCCTCCAACGCAGCTGTCTCAGACAGGGATTGCTAATGAAGCAATCTAAACTGACATACATATGAAAACTAACACATATATGAAAGATGATAGGAAAGAGGCCCCTTAAAAGTCTTCACTGTTTTAAAACGAAGATGCTTGTTAACCATAAGGGATCTATAACGCATGTGTCAACGTACATAATCCATAGCCAATCTATAAATCAAAATTGGGGTGAGTTTATTATGAGCCAGCTCTGAGGACTAGCCCAGGGCCTTCCTTCCACAAGGAAGGAAGGGCACCAAAGAAGTGGAGTGTATAGAATGGTTATATACTGTCTTGGAACAAACAGCATACATTAAACACACCCAGGATACATTTTTATCAAAATTTCAAAGAGGTATTCAGTTGCAAATTAGCAGGTCAACATGACCGTGATATCAGGAAACAGACTAATCCTGGCATTACCAGTAAGGCATAGGAGGGGAAGCATACATTCTTTTCTTAAGGGAGTGCATTCTTTACTTTAATGGTTAAGCAGATGTACAAAGTATGTTTGATAGGTTGTAAATGAGACTTTTTAGTTCAAGATGAGTCAGTTTTGAACCCGAATAGTTACCCTGTATACCTCAATATGTGAAAATCTCTTGTCGCATGTTATTTGGAACAGAAGAGGAATGAGACAAGGGCGATAGGGAAAATTCAGATAAAAACGGAGAAGAGGCTACTGGGGGAGGAAGCTACCCCACAGGCAGGCTGGCTCTGCCTGGAAATTTATCAGAGGATCAGCTCCTGTAAGCCGTTTCTGATTTTCACACATCCTTCCCCTTGTCTTCTGAAACAAAGAAGCTCTGAGTGTTTCAAGTTCCTCTCTCTTCCCTACCAATGGATTTACATGATAGCAGCAATAATCCTTTAATTAAGCCTAGGCATCCTTTTATTAGTTAGCTCTTAACTCTATCAGGCCTTGCCTGATAAATTTGTGACTTTTGCTGGATATGCTTTTGAAGAAGAGTGAAAGGGGAGTATGCCTCAGCAAAGTTAATCAGGTGTATCTGGATCCAGATTGTAAAGCCTTGAGTGATAATGGTCAAAGTCAGAATTACAATGGGTTGGCTGGTGGGAGATACTCTGATTTTCTAATGCTGGCCCTGACCTACCACAGGACAAATAAGGAAACCAGGGGCCAGCCTGGTGGTGCAGCGGTTAAGTGCGCACGTTCTGCTTCGGCGGCCCAGGGTTCACCAGTTCAGATCCTGGGTGTGGACATGGCACCACTTGGCAAGCCGTGCTGTGGCAAGCGTCCCACATATAAAGTCGAGGAAGATGGGGATGGATGTTAGCTCAGGGCCAGTCTCCCTCAGCCAAAAGAGGAAGACTGGCAGCAGATGTTAGCTCAGGGCTAATCTTCCTCAAAAAAAAAAAAAAAAAGAAAGAAAGAAAACAGGGTGATTTATTTGCTTGTCCTGCTCTGACCCAGGCCTCTTCTTTTCTTCCTTTTCCTTAGTGTTGAGATAATAAGATTGGGCAACAGTTACTATATCAACTGGGATCGGAAGATGTTTTATGCACCAAAGAACACACCAGCACAAGCTCGCACCACCACCCTTAATGAGGAACTCGGCCAGGTCAAATACGTGTTCTCTGACAAAACAGGGACCCTGACTCAGAACATCATGATTTTCAAGAAGTGTTCTATTAATGGGACATTGTATGGTATGCATGTCTTCCTGCTTTCCCTGAGTCCTGGGGAAATTCTACTTTGCAGATGTTCTCAAGAATAATCTGACTCTAAATCTATACACCTCTTATTCTCACAACCTCCTCTATTCACTAAGCAAAGATCACCTAGCCCACTCAATTCTAACCTGAAAGCATTTATTTAGCACCTTAAAGATGGAACCCATTGTATTGGATACTGGAAATACCAAGATGTACAAGACTTAATCTCTGTCCTCAAGAATTCCCAGTGTCTTGGGAAAGTCAGTTCACTCTCATATTAAATCAGATGGGGCAACCAGCATATTACTGAAGTTGCTAATCTCCTGGTTCTCCCTCAGACCAATAAACAGTCCTGAGAGAAGCCATCAAAGGGTAGTCAGAGTTTGATCAGTGTCTCCCATGCCCAATTCCTCATTTATTTCATGCCTTAAGCATATGCTTGTTTGCATGACAATATTAAGTCCTCATGTAGGTGAACATTCATGCCCAGTGCACTAACTAGCAGAGGAAGGCAGTCACATCTGAAAAGCTAGAGCACATGGAATGTTCTTCTGGGGTGATGACAAAGCTTTGAAACTAGAGATGTGGTAGTTGCACAACATTATGAATGCACTAAATGCCCCTGAATTATACACCTTAAAATGGTTAATTGTATGTTACGTGAATTTCACCTCAATTTAAAAATAATAAAAAATTTAAAATTAAGAAACAAGAGCACTGTAATATTTCCTATTACTCCTGCCAAACAAGTTTTCATTTCTGAAAGCTTATTTTTGGATGAGTTGATTTGGGTGAGGATCTTAATTCTCTGGCTCATTATAAGCCATGACCATACGCTGGGTAAGGTTGAAAAGAGTCATGGGAGTTTCTGTGCTTGACATTAGACTGTCTTCCACACCTATACTGTCTGTACTGTCCACTGGCCAACAATCCTAAACATTCTAGCACTATTTTTACGTCTCTTCTAGGTAACTTTTCTGATTAGAGGGCTTCCTGAAGTGTGAAGTCTCTCATAGATCCGGTGACTAGACTCCAGCCTCACCTCACTCACACTTAAGGGAGAAGAGTTATGGCCCAAGCAGATGACCTCTTCTTACCACTGGCTTGGGGAAAGGAGCTTACTGGGGCACTGGGGCCTGAGGGGAGGAAGAAGCTTGACTACAAGTCTAGATGATAGAAGCATAAAAAATAAGCTTTTAATAACCCTCCTTTAAATTACCATATAACCCAGTAATTCCATACCTAAGTATATACCAAAAATATTTAAAACAGCAATTCAAACAGATAGATATTTGCTAGTGTGCATTAGAGCATTATTCACAATAGCCCAAAGGTAGAAACCATGCATGTGTCCATCAACAGATGAATGGAGAAATAAATTGTGGTATATCTACACAATGGAATATTACTCAGTCATAAAAAGTAATGAAGTTCTGATACATGCTACATGAAGGATGATTCTTGAAAACATTATGCTAAATGAAATAAGCCAGACACAAAAGGAAAGATTGTATGATTCTACTTATATGAAATATCTAGAATAGACAAATTCACAGAGACAAAAAGTAGGTTAGAGGTTACCAGGGGCTGGGAATAGAGAGGAATAAGGAGTTTCTGTTTAGGAAATATATAATAGTGATTGTTGCACAACATTGTGAATGTAATCAATGCCACTGAATTGTACACTAAAAAATGGTTAAAATGGCAAATTTTATGTTGTATGTATTTTACTACAATAAAAAAATTTTTAAACCCTTCTTTAAAACCTTTGCCAAGTCTCTGCTCTGTTTACTTACCAACAGGTGATGTCTATGATAAGAATGGACAGAGGGTAGAAGTTTCCGAGGTAAGTGATTACAGCTTCCTGTTAAATGCATGTGGGAGCTGAGTGAGGCCATGCTGCACAGCAGCATCTTAAACACAAATTGGGACTCCTTTAGCCCCTGAAGCTTTTATTGGCCCCCTAGTATCAGAAAGTATTATATAAATGACCTATGTTTATTTGAGGGGATTTGGGTTTGTTTTAAAATGAAAATAGATTTGTTGGTTTTTTTCTGCTTAAAAAATAATCTATACTCACTATATTAAAAAATCCAAACAATACAGAAATGGATGAAGAAGAAAGTTAAAATCATTCAATTCCGTTAAGATTTTACCAATGTAAAATGAGGGGGTATATCCTTTCAGGTGCTTTTCATAAGTATATATGCACAAATGTACGTCTAGATCTAGTGATAGATTGGATGGGGGAGTGGAGGGAGAATTATAGCATGCATGCTGTTGTCAGCCTCCTTTTACCACTTGACACCATATTTTTGTCCACTTCCCAAGTCAGTGGGTCTATATCATCATTTTGAATGAGTGTCATACCCAGTTGTATTGATGTACCTTAATTTATTTAACCAGTCCCCTATTTTTATTCCATTTTGTTTTGCTATTGTCAATAGCATTATGGTAAACACCCTGGTGCATACATTTTTGTCTCTTCTTCTAATAACTGTTTCCTTAGAATAAAGTCCTAAAAGTGAAATTGGTTGGTCAAAGGGGACCCACCTTTTTTTTCCAATTGGTATATATATATATATATATATATATATATATATATATATATATTTTTTTTTTTTATTGAGGTCATATTGCCTTTTAACATTGTGTAAATTTCAGGTGTACATTATTATATTTCAGTTTCTGTATAGTTTGCATTGTGTTCACCACCAATGCTCTAGTTTTTATCCGTCAACGTACGTATATGCCCCTTTACCCCTTTTGCCTTCCCCTCACTCCCTTTTCCTCTGGTAACCACTAATCTGTTCTGTTTATCTATGTGTTTGTTTATCTTCTATATATAAGTGAAATCATATGGTATTTGTCTTTGTCAAACTTGTTTCACTTAGCGTAATACCCTTAAGGTCTATCCATAATGACACAATTTTTTCTTTTTTATGGCTGACTAGTATTCCATAGTGTATGTATACCACATCATCTTTATCCATTCATCTGTTGATGGGCACTTGGGTTGCTTCCAAGTCTTGGCTATTGTGAATAATGCCACATTGAACAAAGGGGTGCATATATATTTACGCATTCGTGTTTTCATGTTCTTTGGATAAATATCCAGCAGTGGAATAGCTGGATCATATGGTAATTCTATTCTTAATTTCTTGAGGAATCTCCATACTGTTTTCCATAGTGGCTGCACCAGTTTGCATTCCTACCAGCAGTGTATGAGAGTTCCCTTTTCTCCACATCTTCTCCAACACTTGTTGTTTCCTGTCTTGGTAATTATAGCAATTCTGATGGGTGTGAGGTAATAGCTCATTGTAATTTTGGTTTTTATTTCCCTAATAATTAGTGACGTTGAACATCTTTTCATGTTCCTGTTGGCCATCTGTATATCTTCTTTGGAAAAATGTCTGTTCAGATCTTTTGCTCATTTTTTAATTGGGTTGTTAGTTTTTTGTTGTAGAGATGTATGAGTTCTTTATATATTTTGGATATTAACCCCTTATCAGATATATAGTTCACAAATGTTTCCTCCCAATTGTTAGGTTGTCTTTTCATTTTGTTGATGGTTTCCTTTGCTGTGCAGAAGCTTTTTAGTTTAATGTGGACCTGTTTGTTTCTTTTTACTATTGTTTCCCTTGCCTGGTCAGACATGGTCTTTGAAAATATGCTGCTAGGACTGATATCAAAGAGCATACTGCCTATGTCTTCTTGTAGAAATTTTATGGTTTCAGATCTTCCCTTCAAGTCTTTAATCCATTTTGAGTTAATTTTTGTGTATGGTGTAAGATAATGGTCTACTTTCATTCTTTTGCATGTGACTGTCCAATTTTCCCAACACCATGCGTTGAAGAGACTTTCCTTTCTCCATTGTATGTTCTTGGGTCCCTTGTCGAATATTATTAGCTGTCCACATATGTGTGGGTTTACTTCTGGGCTCTTGATTCTGTTCCACTGACCTGTGTATCTCTTTTTGTGCCAGGACCATGCTGTTTTGATTCCTGTAGCTTTGTAGTATACTTTGAAATCAGGGAGTGTGATGCCTCCAGTTTTTTTCGTTTTTCTCAGGTTCCTTTGGCTATTCAGGGTCTTTTGTTCTTCCATATAAATTTTAGGATTCCTTATTCTGTTTCTGTGAAAAGTGTTGTTGGAACTTTGATAGGGATTGCATTGAATCTGTAGATTGCTTTAGGAAGTATGGACGTTTTAACTATGTTAATTCTTCCAATCCAAGAGCACAGAATATCTTTCCATTCCGTTGTGTCTTCGTCAGTTTCTTTCAACAGTGTTTTATAGTTTCCAGTGTAGAGATGTTTCACCTCTTTGGTTAAATTTATTCCTAGGTATTTTATTCTTTTTGTTACAATTATAAATGGGATTGGATTCTTGATTTCTTTTTCTGCTACTTCATTATTAGTGTATGGAAAAACAACTGATTTTTGTATGTTGATTTCGTATCCCACAACTTTACGGAATTCGTTTATTGAATCTAAAAGTTTTTTGGTGGATTCTTTAGGGTTTTCTATTTATAAAATCATGTCATCTTCAAATAGTGACAGTTTCACTTCTTCCTTTCCAATTTGGATCCTTTTTATATCTTTTTCTTGCCTGATTGCTCTGGCTAGGACTTCCAATACTATGTTAGATAAGAGTAGTGACAGTGGGCATCCTTGTCTGGTTCCTGTTCTTAGAAGGATAACTTACAGTTTTTCTCCATTGAATGGTATATTAGCTGTGGGTTTGTCATATATGGCCTTTATTATATTGAGGTACTTTCCTTCCATACCCATTTTATTCAGAGTTTTTATCATAAATGGACGCTGTATCTCGTCAAATGCTTTCTCTGCTCTATTGAGATGATCATGCAATTTTTATTCCTTATTTTGTTAATGTGGTGTATCATCTTGATTGATTTGCAGGTGTTAAACCATCCCTGCATCCCTGGGATAAATCCCACTTGTCATAGTGTATGATCTTTTTAATGTATTGTTGTATTCGATTTACTAGTATTCTGTTGAGGATTTTTGCACCGATGTTCATCAGTGATATTGGCCTGTAACTTTCTTTTTTGTGTGTTGTCCTGGTCTGGTTGTAATATCAGGGTAATGCTGGCCTCGTAGAATGAGTTAGGAAGCCTTCTCTCCTCTTCAATTTTTTGGAAGAGTTTGAGAAGAATAGGTATTAAGTCATCTTTGAATGTTTGGTAGAATTCACCAGGGAAACCATGTGATCCTGGACTTTTATTTTTTGGGAGGTTTTAGATTACTGTTTCGATCTCCTTACTGGTGATTGGTCTATAGAAATTCTCTGTTTCTTCTTGATTCGGTTTTGGAAGGTTGTATGATTCTAAGAATTTATCCATTTCTTCTAGATTATCCAATTTGTTTGCATATAGCTTTTCATAGTATTCTCTTATAATCTTTTGTATTTCTGAGGTGTCCATTGTAATTTCTTCTCTTTTGTTTCTGATTTTATTTATTTGAGCCCTCCTCCTTTTTTTCTTGGTAAGTCTAGCTAAAGGTTTGTCAAGTTTGTTTATCTTTTCAAAACACCAGCTCTTAGTTTCATTGATTTTTTCTATTGCTTTTTTAGTTTCTGTTTCATTTACTTCTGCTCTGATTTTCATTATTTCCTCCCTTCTACTGATTTTGGGCTTGGTTTGTTCTTTTTTTTTCCAGTTCGTTGGGTGTACTGTTAGATTGTTTATTTGGGATTTTTCTTGATTCTTGAGGTAGGCCTGTATTGCTATATAATTCCCTCTTAGAACCACTTTTGCTGTATCTCATAAATTTTTTTTTTATTTTATTTTTTTCCTTTTTCTCCCCAGAGACCCCGGTACATAGTTGTATATTCTTAGTTGTGGGTCCTTCTAGTTGTGACATGTGGGATGCTGCCTCAGCATGGCTCCATGAGTGGTGCCATGTCCGCGCCCAGGATTCGAACTGATGAAACACTGGGCCTCCTGCAGTGGAGCGCATGAACTTAACCACTCAGCCACGGGGCCGGCCCCTGTATCTCATAAATTTTGGCACATCATATTTTCATTTTCATTTGTCTCCAGATATTTTTTGATTTCTCCTTTGATTTCTTCATTGACCCAATCGTTGTTCAGTAGCCTTTTGTTTAATCACCACATATTTATGGGTTTCCACTTTTCTTCCTGTAGTTGACTTCTAGTTTCCTACTGTTGTGGTCAGAAAAGATGCTTGGTATTATTTCACTCTTCTTAAATTTGTTGAGACTCTTTTTGTGATCTAATATGTGATCAATCCTGGAGAATGTTGCATGTGCATTTGAAAAGAATATGTATTCTACAGTTTTGGGATGGAATGTTCTGTATGTATCTACTAAATCCAACTGATCTAATGTGTCAGTGAAGGCCAATGTTTCCTTATTGATCTTCTGTTTGGATGATCTATCCATTGGTGTAAGTGGAGTATTAAAGTCCCCTACTATATTGTGTTGTGGTCCATTTCTCCTTTTATGGCTGTTAATAATTGCTTATATATTTAGGTGCTCCTATGTTGGGTGCATAGATATTTACAAGTGTTATATCCTCTTGTTGGATTGTTCCCTTTATCATTGTGTAGTGCCCTTCTTTGTCTCTTGTTAACAGTTTTTGTTTTAAAGTCTATTTTGTCTGATATAAGTACTGCTACCCCAGCTTTCTTTTCATTGCCATTTGCATGGAGTATCTTTTTCCATCCCTTCACTTTCAGTTTGTGACTGTCTTTAGGTCTGAAGTGTGCCTCTTGTATGCAGTATGTATATGGGTCTTGTTTTTGTATCAAATCAGCCTATCGGATTGGAGCATTTAGTTCATTGACCTTCAGAGTAGCTATT